GGGAACTAAGCAATGGTAGATTGTCTAGAAGCAACAGGCCCCTCTGTAATCAGCCCCTGAATAATTTAGAGTTGACTGTATCACGCAAGTGTCCACCTCTCAGGAGAGGAAAGATGGGGATCCTATGTGTGCTTTGGATTCCTGGAAAGAAAATAATGATTAGTGTTCGAACTATTGTTGTACTGTGAACTGGCCATGTGAAAATGTTAGTAATAGTACCTATGTTTGTATTAAATCCTCAACAGTTTATGAAACTCATTGATACTTGCTATTTTATTTAATTTGATCTTTACAGTAACCCTGGGAATTAGCATGTTTGGTAGTATTAAATAAAAAACTGAAGCTCAAATTGGTTAAATGGCTTTATCAAGGTCACGTGATTTCTAAGTACTTGAGCCAAGAACTAAGGTCTTCTGACTCCTAATCTGATACTTTTTAACATAGAGTTGCGCTTCTAGCAAGAATACTTATTAATCTGCTACTTGCCCAGTGACAGGAGATACAACTTATTCCTGCAAAAGGCTAGTTTTTAAAAGTCCACATCTTTTGGAAGACCTGATGAGTTCTCTCACCCCAAGAATCAGTGGTTCTGTGAACTGGGGTGACCTAGTAGGGGTAAAACCCCAGTTTGGTTTGAAAGTGATTTCCATCAGGAGGCAAGCTGCTGCTTCTCTGAGGTACCAGAGGGCTCTGTCTGGTCAGGCGCTGGTTCCAGAGCGTGTTTCATGTACTCAGGCTGACCACTGGACCCCATCCACGTTTGGCAGGCTGTGGCCCCAGTGGAATACTCGTGATTGGGAACACGGTGATACCACATGCTCTTGGATTTCCACTCTCCTTTTGCACAGCTGCATACAGAAGTGTGGGTGTAGCTTACTTCTCTGCCTGCAGATCTGCTTTTCTGTTCCTGTCCCCTTTTTCTTTAGAGAAGGGGAGCTCCCTGTGCTTTGGTGATCACCACAAGCATTGACCCTCCTTCGGCCACACATGTTTACATCCGATTTTACCCGATTTCCGAGGCTAAGCTGCCCTTCCCCACGCAGAGACAGAATTTGGCCCTTGGTATTGGGTTTGTGACATCACAGTTGTTACTATGGTAATAGACTTGTTATAAACACAGGATAATAGCTCTGATTTTGCTTTTTTTTTTTTTTTTTCACTCTCCAAGCAGTGAAGGGACTCATCATAATCCTTAAGTAAGAATCACAGACTTTTTTGCAGACTCTAGGAAGTCGACAGAATAAGGCTTTGCCATACAGAGCAGTCATAAAAAAAACACACTGTTATAAGAATAATATTAGAAAATAATTGAAAGTATTAACCGACGCCTTTTAATGCAAAGATTCATTTATTCTTTTAGTTTGAATGAATATGAAAACCTCCTTCTTTGCTAATTTTAAAAATCACAGCATGAGCATAGTCTGAAGTGGCAGGCTACCTATCAGCGAGAGTTTGAAAGATAACTCAGGTTAATTATATTGTAACCTTGCTGTAATTCTTCTCATATTAGAGATTTTAATATGAATCCAAGCCTTTGGGACTTCATTCAAAGAGACCTGTGCCAGTAAAGGACTTTTCTGCATGAACCGAGTTATAGTGAGTCTCCATCAAAATACTAGGCCTGCCCCACTCCCCTGCAAGTTTGACTATTGAAGCAAAGACATTCAAAATAAGGTCCTTACTAGTACATTGGTCTTTGCTGCTTTACAGGTGAAATAACGCTCGGCTCCATGGATCTGCCATCGGTCCTCTGCAGTGGTTGGGCAGGTTAGGGTCTCCCCACCTTGTCTATCTCTGGTCAAAGTAACCAGCTGGGACTCGAACCAGGATTTTTCTATCTCAATCTCAGACTTGCCCTATAACAGCATTTTGCTCCGAAGAATTAAACAAAAATCAATAAAACTATCAGAATTATTTTCTTTTGCACGAGGAAAAAACAAAATGCAGCAACTTTCTAATGAAAGTTCTACCGAGCTCTGCTGCAGAAAACAGTGATCTAGGAAACGACATTTTAGATCTGAGTCTTTGGACAGGTTTTCCCAGAGGCTTACAAGTTGCCTGTTGTAAGCCCAGAATCCCTCTAAGTCCCTGATTACTTTTAAATGAAATGAAATGTGACAGAAGGAGGGAACATATTCCTCTGGATGCATTTATGTGGCAGTTTTGAATAAAACGTCTTTGACCTTAAATGGTTAGCGATCATATTCTTATTCCCCACCATGCTCCTACGTGTGAGGTGGAGGGCAGGGCCCACACAGGACATGCAGGTTTG